AAAAAATAAGGACCCCAGTTGTATTGGCCTAGAGCCCACTTTAATGACCTCATTAAGTAGTTACATCTGAAATGATCCTATATCCACATGAAGTCACATTCTGAGGTACTGGGGGTTAGGCCATAAGCATGAGTTTAGGGGAGTGGGCACAATCCAACTGGTAACACTGAACTCTAATTTCTCTCTCTCTTTTTCATTTTATTTTTTGTTTCTCTAGAGGGTCATTTCTGTTTTTTTTTCTTTTTTTTAAATTTATTTACTTTTTTGGTATTTTCTCTTTTAATTTATGTTTGAGATTTCTAAAGATCATTTGAACCTATTGTCTGGATGACAAGTAAAATATTTTATTACTTCATACATTTATTTATGTGCTTTCTATATTATTTATTATTTAGAAAATCAATTAGCTACATATATTTTTAATAATTACATTTACCATAAAGTTATAGCCAAAAATAGCATTTCTTGTCCACAATCCTTTCCATTTCATAGTACCCTATTGAAAGGCAACCACTTTCATTTTTTATAACTGTTACTTTTAAGTATTTACTTTTGTTTTGTAAACATCATGCTCATATTGACATTATTCGTTTATCATGTAAGTATTATCTCCTATTTCTAGTATGAAATGTATGAAGTAACATTTTTAGAAATATTCCCTTTCTATTTCCCACCATTCTGTATAATTTCTCTAAAATTTGGTTGTATGAATATTGCAAAATTTGCAGTTCCCTGATGACATATGATGTTGAGACTATTTTCATATCCTTATTTGCCATCTGTTTATTTTCTACAGTGAGATGTCTGCTAAGATCTTTGGCCCATTTTTAAATTGGGTTGTTTGCTTTTTATCATTGAGTTTTAAGAGTTCTTTGCCTATTTTAGTCTTAAAAAGATAAAAATTATATTGTTAAAAATATAGATTAAAATATCATATATGGTAGTCTTTTATCATATATGTCTTTTGCAATATTTTCTACCAGTCTATGGCTTGTCTTTTCATTCTTTTGATAATACCTTTCAGAGAAAAGTTTTTAAATTTTAACGGAGGACAGCTTGTTAATGCTTTTTTCCATGGATCATGCCTTTGGTGTCTTATTTCAAAAGTCATTGCCAAATCCAAGTTCATCTAGATTTTCTCCTGTGTCATTTTCTAGGAGCTTTATAGTTTTGCGTTT